ATTTTTGATCTACAGATAATCCTTAAAAGAAAATATTTATAATATCCTGTTCCAGTGTTTGAGTTTCTTTATTTATGTCCTAAGAACCACAAAAAAAGAGAGTTAAATCAAGCAATAAAGTATCAGCCCACTGTGGGAGATGTATGCTTCACCATTTGAGGAAGCTTATCTTCATAATTCAGGCAGTAAGATTGTCCCTTTTCACTTGGTATGAATTATTTCTTTAATATTATTATTTATTTAAACCATGGCTCACTAGTAAGTCATTTACTTTTGTTTAAACTAAGTTTAAACCTTTTAATCCCTATCTGATGTACACTGGAGTGGTTTTGCCTGCAGCACCAGGAGACCCATATAATTCTATACTTAATCCTGGTGCCCCAAATAAAATATTCATCTTTTAAGTCACGGCAGAATAATTAGGAGAGGCTATGACAGCCTGCTGGATATATATTTACTTTTAATTTAATTCTGATTTGTAGAACAGTTATTCATTATACATAGCAAGGTCATTTTTGTTAATTCAATTGCATACATACATGAAGATATCCCCGTGGAAGATTTCAGGTAATGCTTTTCCATGCAACTCAATCAGTCTTTAGTGATGGCAATAACACTTATCCAGATTGTATTTTGTCACAAACCATCAGTTATTGCACCATGTTTATAAATTCTGTGACGCACATCAGAGGACATTAACAGAGACTAATGAAGAATTAGTCATTTTAAGAAACCAAAGCTGGAAGCAACACTGTTTAGCACTTAAATGACATTTTTCATTTTCAAATTACTTTTGCATGAATACTAATTAATCTCAACATTACCATGAAGAAGGTAAATAAAATTATGATCCTTATTCAGGATATAAGAAAAATGAGGTAGAAAGACTCAACTGTTTTCATTTTCTGTCTCTCACTCTAGCTATATCATCTATCTATTTAAAAATAAATTTCTCTTTAAATAAACATATGAACAACCACACAACAACAAAACCCCCTCTGAACTCAGATTTGGTCTACTTGAAAGATTATCCATAAGAGATTGGTCCACACCTCTATGAAACCCATCATTCTGTTTGTTCTATCTCTTGCCCATTCCAACCAATTATTCCTTTTCAATCTAGTACCCTAGAGCTTAAGAAAACGATAGTTGTACAATGCCCTTGTTGTAGTGATGAACTAAGGCCACTAAGAGTTAAAGTTATTTAACCAGAGCCACAAAATCAGCACTAGAGCCCAGGTACATATAAATCTTTATGCCGTCTGCTTTCTATCATAAAACTAGCTATCATATACCAACATGGTGTTTTTACTGTTTTTTTATTCCTTCTAATTTTGTCTTTTGCTCCTCTATCAGTCAGTACCTCACTATTCCATTTTCTACTTCTGTGATACGAAATAAAATCAAGAACATACTCACCTGGGAGTAGCTAGGAGCCAGGGAAGAGAGAGGACGGTTTACAGCAGGGTCAGTCCTTCCAGGCTGAGAATTATGGGCAAGGATGTGCTCTTCCAAGAGCAAGGAACAGAGGAGCAGCCCCAAAGTCTGAAGCATTTGCTACTAAACCTAAAGAACCCTTTCAAGCGGAACCTTGGAAGGCATTAATTTTGATAAGGAAGGTCAACACAATCTGTGTGGGGGATGAATAATGTGGTGCTTCTTTTAACAAGGCAAGGAGGTGAAATTTTATTTTATAACTTTACATGGCTTCATGACTTTAGGCAATGGAAAGTGAGAATGATATTAATGAGTTGGAAAAAATATAGGTATAGGTGTGCTAATGAATACAACTTTAATTGCTAAAATCTTTCAGGCAATAACTGATTTCAGCAAAGAGCATCCACTTATAACGACTATTACGTCAATTGAACAACATTAATGCAGATAAAATATGACAACTTAATGCTGATTATGTTCTGTACATGTTGATAACTATGCTTTCTAGTCTCTGCATGGAGCCTAATTGAAAAATGATTATCTTATTTTCAAGGTTTATCATTAACTACAGAATAAAGGACAGTGTGGTCCGTTTGTTTCATCCATAATGAACGAACATTCCAAGTCACAGGTTTATTTAAGTGATTAAAGTGGTCAAGTTCAAGGTGTAAAGTACCGAAAAATTTCACAGAACACTAGAGAATCTTTATCTCCTCCTCTTTTCCCCCATAAATCATGTCTGAAAGTCTCTTCTACTGTAGAAAATAGACTAGCAATATAAATTTTATTAAAAAGTTTCATTTCTTCATTATTTTTAGTAAAAGAAAGAACCAGCATGCCAAGTTGGAGCACTGATGACCAATGCAATAACTATGCGTTATATTAACTCCTTTCTTTTACTTTGACATCTACACACATGGCAAAGAAAAAAAAAGATTTATAATTGCATATCTCACTTATTTTCCTAAAGCAAGTGAGGGGTTAACATATTTTGTTCTGGGATTCACTTTCACACGAAGGATACTTTGGCTTACATTATTCAGAATAATTCTATTCTATGCTGTGATATAACAAATAAACCTCCAAATCTTAATGTAATGCTCAACCTCGTAAATTTTCATCTAGCTTAAGTCCAATGTGGTCCAGAACAATATCCATTCTTGTGATAGGTACAACAACTGAAATATGTGGCCCTTAAGTTCACTGCAGCAAAGGAAGAGAGATGGGGGAAGGTCACCAGCTCATAGCTTCCTCAGTCACTCATTGTCCAGAACTGTCACATGGTCCCAACCCAACTACAAAGAAGGCTGCAAAACACAGAGAAACACATGATATTCGTTGAGCTCTACATTGAGCTCTGCCACAATTGAGATTGGATTATTCCCAAGAAATTAAATCCAAATCGAGCAAAAATTTGGTTTAACTAAGTCTGGGTAGTTTTTATTTCAGGTGGCTTAAATTTTAACGATTAGCACAAAACCAGCAATGTATCTGCTAAATCTACAAAAGCCTAGGACAAAGCAACTGTTACCAGATGAAGAGTTCATTTTGAACAAAAGTAGAAACTATCTGGAAACACGCTTGCTCCCTCTCTTAATCTTGCAATTAAAGCCATTAATTAAAGTCCTGTGTTATTTTGCATTTCTCCAATGCTTAATTGATCTTCTGTAAACTTGGCTAGAAGGGTTGAAAGAGGAAGATCAATAGATTTGGACAAAATTTTACAGCTTGTTGATATTTCCCATGGCAGTTGCTGAAAGTACTCTGTGTATGCCATGGACCTCTACTGCTCCATGGCTATAAATGAAGTGACCACTGTGCAGTCACCACTCAAGGGAGGTAACATGATTTTCACTCAGAATGGCCATCTCGAGTCAGCCTCAAGGTATATAGTTAAAGCCAAGATATGGAGAAGGATGGATTAGAGCTAGGAGGAAAAAGAAGATGAAAGGCCTAGATAGATAGAAGATGACAGAGTAATTGATCTGGATCAAGGTAAATCCGTAACCTACTCTCAAGGTTTGACATAAACAACAGAGAAAGAACAGTTTTTTAACTCTGTAGTAACGTATGGCCAAAGTTGCTTTGTGTATTTTCATTTGCAACTATGTCCAGTATAAGTGTGCATGGACATGTGAATAGAGACTGTTCTCATGGAAAAAACAGCCAGGACATTTTATTTCATTGACTAAATTTCCAGATTAATCATATCAGCACTAATTACATTGTTTAATAGTAGCGGTTTTCCTGCTACTTTCATTTCTCCTGTAAATAAAAACTACCTTTACCCCAAAGAATTGGCTGTTAGATGAATTTAATTATGCTAGTCAAGGGTTAACCACCTGTCATATTTTTATTACAGAAATATTTTGGATTGTAATTATCTGTGATGCCTCATACACTAGTATGAAAAGTGCAAGATTCCCAAGGGAAGTGTTCTGATTTACTCAGCTGCTGCTGAATGAAGTTCATGAAACATTTTATTCTGCAGGTTTGATGGAAGACATAATAGTGAACAGGGATAGGAGGAAGAAAATCCTAGAAGCATGCCTTTCAAAGATGGTACAGGCTATGAATTTGAGATTGTTCTCAGTATTCCAGATTGAGAGTAAAAATCTTAACACGTAAGTGATTCTGAATGCATCCTTTCAGCCTTCCATGCACTCTCAGCAGTGGGAGGTCCTCCACCTGTGTCCTAGATTCCATACCTATCTCGTTCTAAGGAGATGTTTTGCTTATACCCAAATCCTTTCCTTCTGCCTTCAAATATGCATGGGATGGGGTGGGGTGGGGGGGCATCATGATCTTGAGTAATTGGCTGGGGCCTCACGTGAAGCCTTGTTGAATACCACTATTTCCAGTCTATACACTCTATCCTCACTCATCCCAGATTGCACTGATCCAAATAGCAACCATAGAATATATCACCTGCTGTTGACATTCTTGCTTCACTCTGCACTCTACCTTCTGTTTCTATCTATCTAACTATCTATCTAACTATATCTATATTATATGTATAGATATTTTTTACAAGCTTTTAAAGTTGAGGTGCATCTGGACATGGCACATATTTTTCTTCATCTTTTCATCCATCCATCCATCCATCCATCCATCCATCCAATAAATGCCTACTGAAATAGAAGGGCCAAACTAGATTGAATCCCAGCAGCTAGTTTCTCAGTTAATTCACCAAGTTCTAAAATCTAATCCCTAACTTTGAAAGCCTGGGGAATCACTTTAGTTAGCGCCAAGGGAGATCAGGCACTGATAACACACTTGGTAACCTAAATGCACTTGGGAAGCCCATTTACTAATTTATAATGAAAAACTTCTCTCACATGGTCTAGAAGATCACATCTCCCTAATAAATATATAAGAAGTCTATATAATCAGGCAGGCAGAGCTCCATGGGAAAATATATCATACACAAGCCAATTTGTAATGAAATACAGTCAGAACTAGAAAAGCTACACAAATTGAGTTTAATGGCATCAGATAATCCAATACACATTTCACAGTGGGGTCGGGTTACTGCTTGTGGGACTCTAGTGGCTGTCATTTAGCCTATGGTTATCATTCTCCCTGTTAGGGCATCCTTTCATTGTGACCCGGAAAGTTCAAGTTCAACGGTTGTGATTTTTCTCTTCACAGTACTTGGCAGGGGCACTACCAACCCTTAACCACTTGACCCTCCTTTGTCTATGTGTCTTTGACACATATTGACATATTCTTTCTCTACAGCCATGGTCCTCTACTGGGAAGATTTTTGTGCCCCAAGGGACATTTGGCAATGTCTGGAGACTTTTTTGGTTGTGACAACTCAGGGAGTGCAACTGGCAACTAGAAGACAGGAGCCAGGGATGTTACTAAACATCCTACAACGCACAGGGCAGTCCTCACGACAAAAAATTATCCCCCCAAAATATTAATAGTGCCAAGGTTGAGAAACCATGCTCTAGAGATGTTATTATGGTCAATCTGCTTATAGTGTAGTTTTGTTTGCCCAGGAGTTATTCTGAATCCTAAAAGTGACTCTGTCAGTCATGTTTTCACCCACTATCAAGTTTATCAAGCAGCAAGGCAGCATTATTTCTCCTTTCCAAGTACTTGCAGACAACTCACTGTGTTCACAAGTACTGACAACACCTACTATTAAATTCATCGTCCTAAAATACAAGCCTGTTCCCTTACCACCCCTCAGAAGGACTTTTGTAATAACAGCCAAATTTACTGAACATTTACTTTCTGCAAGACACTGTTCTGAGCATCTCTATTTATTTAATTTTCACAATATTTCTATGAAGTAGTTCTATTTTATTCCCATTTTATAAATGATAAAACTGAGTCACAGACAGACTAGCTAGTTTACTAAGGCCACTTAGTTAGAAAATGGTACAGCTGGATTTAAATCAAAGTAGCTTGCTGTGTTATGTTATATGGCCATTTATTTAATTGAGGTATAATTGACATACAACATTATATTAGTTTTAGGTGTACAACATAATGATTCAATATTTGCATATACTAAGAAATGATCACCACAATAAACCTAGTTAACATCCCTCACCAGACGTAGTTACAGAATTTTTTTTCTCATGATGAGAACTTTTAAGATTTACTTTCTTAGCAACTTTCAAATATGCAATGTAGTATTATATTTTTTTGCCTTTTTCCCCTCTTTTACAGTTTATATTTTTATTGAGGTAACAGTGGTTTATAACATTATTTAAATTTTAGGTGTACATCGTTATATTTTAATTTCTGTGTAGACTACATCGTGTTCACCACTCAAAGACTAATTACCATCTGTCACTGTACAGATGTGCCCTTTTACTCCTTTCACCCTCCACCCTTCCCCCTTCCCCTCTGGTAACCACCTATCTAATCTCTGTGCCTATGTGTTTGTTTGTTGTCGTTCTTGTTATTGTTTTTATCTTCCACTTATGAGTGAAATCATATGGTATTTGACTTTCTCCATCTGACTTATTTTGCTTAGCATAATTATTATTATAGTATTATAAACTGTAGTTGCTATATTGTACCTTACATTCCCATGACTTATTTATTTTATAACTGAAAGTTTGTACTTTTTGACTCTCTTCACCCATTTCACCCACCCTCATCCCCTGCCTCTGGCAACCATCAATCTGTTCTCTGTATCTATGAGCTTGTTTTATTTTTTGAGATTCCACACGCAAGTGAGATCATACAGTATTTGTCTTTCTCTGTCTGACTTATTTCACTTAGCACGATGCCCTCAAGCTCCATCCATGTTGTCTCAATTGGCAAGATTTCCTTCTTTTTTATGTCTGAATAATATTACATTGTATATATATATACACCACATTTTCTTTATCCATTCATCTGTCAATGGACACTTAGGTTGTTTCCATATCTTAGCTATTGTAAATATTGCTGCAATGAAATGAGACTGCATATATCTTTTCAAGTTAGTATTTTCATTTTCTTTGAATAAATACCCAGAAGTGGAATTGCTGGATCATATGGGACTTCTATTTTTAATTTTTTTATGAACCTCCATATTGTTTTCTATAGTGGCTGCACCAATTTACATTTGCAGCGGTGTACAAGGCTTCTCTTTTCTCCACATCCTTGCCAACACTTGTTATTTTTTTTAATTTTATTTTTTGTGAGGAAGATCAGCCCTGAGCTAACATCCATTGCCAATCCTCCTCTTTTTGCTGAGGAAGATTGGCCCTGGGCTAACATCCATGCCCATCTTCCTCTACTTTATATGGGACGCCGCCACAGCATGGCCTGACAAGCGGTGCGTCAGTGCGCGCCTGGGATCTGAACCGGGGCCGCCAGCAGCGGAACGTGCGCACTTAACCGCTATGCCACGGGGCAGGCCCCAACACTTGTTATTTTTTGTCTTTTTGATAATAGTCATGCTGACAGGTGCGAGGTGATATCTCATTGTGGTTTTGATTTGCATTTTCCTGATGATTAGCAATGTTGCACATCTTTTCATGTACCTGTTGGCCATCTGTATGTCCTTCTTGGAAAAATGTCTATTCAGATCTGCTCATTTTTTAATTGGATTATTTGTTTTTTTGCTATCGAGTTGTATGAGTTCTTTATATATTTTAGATATTAACCCCTTATAAGATATACGATTTGCAAATATTTTCTCCCATTCCATAGGTTTTATATGGCCATTCTTGGTCTACATGGGCTTTAATATGCTACAAACAGTAAAAAGAATAAAGTTCAAACTCTTCTAATCAGGTTCAAGACACTCAGTAATCTTCACCTTCTTCAATTCTCTTGACTTACCACCCAATACCTTGAAACATAGAAACTGCACTTCTATTCTTCTTGGGTTCATTACCAGCACTGAGCATTTACTCAAAAGGTCTTCTCAACTCCACTTGATTTCCAAAGCTGACTTACAAGGCTTGCCTTTTCTCTGGAAGTTTTCCTGCCTGGCTGCTACAGCTCATAGTAAACTGACTTTTACAGTGCTTACTATTTTGAACAACAAAAAACGGTCTTTAAACATCTATTCTGTGATAGATACAATAGACAGTAATGGACAGATAGATAAAATAAAAGTTAAATATATTTGAAGAAAAACCCAAACTGCATTAAAAATCTATGTTCTATCATTTATCACCTACATATGACCTTGAACTAAGCTTCAATTTTCAATCCATAACATGTATATAATACCCACATACACAAGTGTTGTGTATGTCCTATTATCTTTATGTTATATATATACACACATATAGATGCACATATACACACACATACACACATATGCACATCATGTCTTATATAGATATAAATAAATGTATATGTGTGTATCTATATGTATAGACAAATGCATATATATTTTATAATCAAGAGAAAAACTGTCTAAGTTTCAACTCTGGCTCTGCCAATTATAAGCTAAATAATCTTGGGCTACTTCCTTAACTTGCTGAGCCTCATTTCCCTCCTTTCTAATAATGAAGAGAACACTCGTGGATTAATAGGCCATGTGTTTGATGTAACTCTAGGCTTCCCGGAACACAGGCAGAGATGGACCATCACAGCAGTCCCAATGACCTTAGGCTCTATTTACTACCAGATTTCCACTGAGGAAGCCATGGATCCATCGTTCCCAATTTAAGGGCTTTGTGCAGAGATTCTGGAGGCTTCAGATTTATTCCAGAGGGAAAAATATGTGCCTCTAACTAATAAATTGTGACTAAGTTTACCATCACAGGACAATCTAAGAAAATCTTTAGTCCTTCAGGGATTGCTGTCATATTTTCTTTTCTTTCTTTCCTTCTTATTCCTGCTTTCTCTTCTTATTCTTCTTCTCTCAACTTATAAGAATATACAAGAGCAGGAGTGAGCAGAGTTTCCAAAAACGGAGTCATATTGCTCAACTAAGTTCAGCCCTTGTTGGCCTATATCTTCACCAAGTCCAACAATCTAGTGATTATTATAAAGAAAGCTGAACTAACTCACATTTTCTAATACTTAATCATTTCCCAAAGTCTTGAGGCTGGCTATACAGGGTAGTTACAGGGTAGTTATTTTACCTTAGTTAATTGTATATATTCTATTTACTCACCTGTAAAATGAAAAAAATGATATTTGCTTAGCTAGATTTGAACTTGTAGTAAGGATAAATTCCTAGAGAACAGGACCTGTGTTTTATTCCTTCCACATTTCTAGCACCCAGCTGGGCATATGCACATAGTAGCTCTCAATGTTAGTTGAACTAAATTAAAATAAGTTATAACATACTAAAGTTTATAAATTTTTAATCTCTTTAAATTTAACAGCTTATTAGGTATGTTAATGACACTTTGAATTAACAATTATACTTTTTTACAATGAATGAATTTGGAAGATAACTTTTTATGAATATAACCATATTCAGAAGGATAATGACATCCAACCTACAGAATCACTGCAATTAAAATTTATATTTGTATCAGAAAACCAGATGTCTTCTTTCCAAAACTAATTTTAGGTCAACATATTGGCTTAAATACAAGTTTTCCAAATTGCACAACGTCTTGTTTTCCTTATATGTGCATTTTTATGTATTTCATTCTACCAAAAGACTCATCTCATGACTCCTTAATGAACTTTGTGGTAAAGAAATGATGGTGAGACCTACAAAAAGCTGCCACTGTTGACCTCTGATCACAGATGTCGTGCCACTTAGTGCTAAAAGCATCTTACTTCTTTCAAAGTATAATTAATTTTTTGTAGTGCTTCAAATAATATATTCAACTCCTCACTTTTAATTAAGATTCTTTTTCTGTTTCTGAGTTTAAATTATGTTCTGAGAGCACTTTTTGTCAACTGCTTTTTCACGTGAGAAATATCATTACGATCTAAATTCTGTTAGTGTCACATTCATACTTTTTAATAACAAAGTTGTGAACAAAAAATGAACAAAGACTCTTAGACACGTTTAAAATGTCTCATCCTATAAGTAGAGTGGAACAATCCCAGAATGCACTGATAATGCATAAGTATCCTGGTTTTCTAAAGAATAAATATGGTCTGGTAGCTTTTATATAACCAGTTAGCATACTATAAATCAATTATTAGGAGCTTGAGTATAAGTAGAAAAGTAAAAACCTTACTTTAAAAATGTACTGTAAATCTTTTGACTAATATCTGAAGACAATTATTTATATTGTTAGTATTTGACTATAGTTTAATCCAAAAAGGAATTTAAAACTTAGAGCAGTCTTGTAAAAAACAAATTTAAGACACTGCTATTGTATGCCTATTGGGTTATCATGGAAAAGAAACATGCTTAAAAGTGATATTTTCCTTCACACCAAAAGGTCTTGGAGATGCG